AAATAAATATTTGTAAAATTTAAAAAAAATGTAATTAATACTGTGGGGTGTTTGGACACCCTACTGAAAACTGTTGTTTTTCTCTTACTGGAATTTCTGCAGCATCGTAGTAATTTCTGAGCATGCTCTGTACATAAAATCGTGAAGCTACTGAAGAGGACACACATATTTCTTCCGAAATCTATGAATAGTGCAACTTTTAAAACGTTGGGGTGGCTAAACACCCCACTGCATTACCTGGTAATTAAACGACGACCGGCGTTACGTTAAAAATCCCGTGGAACGGCGGATCGTCCTAACCGTCAAAAAATGCTATCCCGAAGCAAAAAAAAATAAATACCTTGTCCAGGTTTCTTCTGTAGACTTCGTTTAAATGTTTCACGTAGTCGTCTCGTTTTTTCTTGAAGGCGCTAAAAGAAAAATTTTAACAGAGATTGCGGCCGAAGTTTTCATCTGTAAAACGAAAACTTCGACCACAACCTCGCTAAACAATTAGACCGGGTTCGATCTCGTTAATTAAATGCCGGAAAGTACTCCGAGACGGATCGATTACCTTCTATTCACCGACGGTCGGGGTATTTTTACCTTCCAGTTTCCGACGTTTTAAACCCCGCCGCGTGGTTAAAACGCGGGTTTGGGAGTATTAAAAATTGCTTTCTTCGTAAATAAATGGAAACTCCGCCGTATCGTTCGGGCCGAAGGAACACTGGCGCACTTATTTAGCACGTCCGTCGCTACCGGCGTATGTTAGTACGAACGAGCATACGGTGTAACGTGGATATTGTACGTTCGCCGCACTAAAAATAACCTGAGAATAAAGACGAATTAGTATCGAGTATTTATCCAATTTTTAATGATTAGAATTCTTCGTTCTGGTAATCGTGTGCCTCGACGCTATCCATTTCCAGTTGGACCATTCCGGGTAAAAACCCTAAAATGGCGTCTTATCAAATGCTACAAATTCGGAAACATTTAAATCTTCAAATCTGGACAAAAAAAAAAAAAAACCATGGAATTCGTGCAGTCGTCGTCCTAGCTGTTTCGAAGCGTGAGAAAAAAAAAAACTCCAATCTCGAATACAGAACGGAGATTTCTATAAATTTCCGTAAGTGAAATTCGTTAACGAATTCCTAAAATGGCGGACGGCTCCGACCATTCTTTCCGGTGTAAATACGGACGACGTTGCGCCATCTGTTTTTATAAACTCGCACCATTATTACTTTTTAAAGTTAAGGCCGTCCTGGCATTATTTATATACATTCGATTATAATTATATAATCGAATGTATAAAGTGTAAATATAAATACCCATTTTAATTGCACCATTGTTCCTTAAAGGACTTTCCGCCACGGGGAATTTCGAAAAGTGCCGTGAAACAACCGTATCGAAACGGCAAAAGAAACCGAAAGGTGGAATGAAAAAACACAAATTCCCTCGCAAGTATGGAAGCGGCCATTTCTCCAGACCTTATTAATGTAACGACGAAATTATCGGGAAGACGAACGGAAGTTTCCGAGAAATCGCCTCCTACAAACTTCCGGGATAAACGAACGGGACGGCGCGTGGGAGTAAAGACGAATTACTAGCACCCGTTCCTACCGGAGAGCCCTCCATCTTCGCACTGGTTTAATTTCGTTACTTTATCCGCCGATTAACGAGAAAATAAAAATTGATAAAGGAGATACCGTCATTTAGCAGAATTAACTTGTTTTTTACCTCCAATCGAATTTACCGACGACCACGTCGAAGCCGTAATCCCCGTGATCCCGGATGGTTTCGGCGTGTTGGGCGCAATAATAACTCAATTTCTTCGGCACGCAGCCGACGTTCACCTGGAGGAAATCAAACAGAATTAAAAGAATTTATTTTCCTCCCGCCGATGGCATTTTATCGTACTACTAAATTTACCTACGCAAGTTCCGCCCAGTCGGTGGGACTCGATCAGGGCCACTTTGGTGCCGAATTCGGCGGCCTTGCGGGCGCTGGCTATGCCGCCCGATCCTCCTCCTATCACTAAATATTCGTAGTGTTCCATCCCCGCGTTAATCGTCCCGAAGAATCTCTTACAAAGTGCGAATTTCCTGCCGAAAATTCTCATCGGACGAAGGCAAGATCCGATCCAAACACCGTAGGCGTAAAATAACCGCGTTACGCCGTCTGGTGACATTTTTTCGTAACTAAATGAAATCGATTAAAATATTATTTTTAGTTTTCTTACATTAAAAAAAAATTGCGCATAAATTCCGAAAACGAATAAAAATACGCGGACGACGGCTTTTCCATTCCGTCGTTTTGTCCCCGGGTGGCGTGATCGGCCACCCGCCGTCGCTCCCGTCGACGTTTTAAATTTAACAAAAATGATTTAAATGGCAAATAATCGAATAAAAAATGCGCGTAAAAGGCCCGGAAGTGGGAAACGTCCGGATGTGATTTTATTCGGAGAGACGAGATAACGCGCCATCGAGAGTCACGTGTGGGGAAGTCGCGGCCTTATTGGATTAGAGAGGAACCGTTCGGAAGATGGCGGCGCCGAACGGTGGCAACAGCCAGCAACTGAGGAGGAGGAACGTGGCCAGAGACGTTCGTCAGACGAACAGCAACAGATTAATTAAAGAAGAAAAAGAGAATAAGTGCGTCGCGCTCTCTCCCAACTCCTACTGGCTGAACAGAATCCTATTTTTGCATTGTTTGGGTTTTATTTACAGTGAGTTTCCGTTTGTTTACTCTCTCTTTTCATCAATTTCTTTACCTTCTTTCAGCATTTTCCTCGTAATTTCGGTTTCGTCTAACGCTTAGCCGTCCAAATAATTGGCAATTATTTAATTAAGAGTCGGAAAACCAATCGATATTTTGCATCTCGAACGTATTAATCCAGTCGCATTTTCGGTGTCGAAAGCACAACTTATCCAATGAAATACTTCCATAATTAAAGTGTTCTCGTACGATATAAAATATTTATATATTACGTTAATTAATCGAATTTTTTCCAAATATTAAACCTTGGTTGACGTTTCGTCTGCCGGACGCCGTACAGTCACCGCCGGTGTTACGTGCCATCCCTAGGAGCGAGAACTAAAATGAAATATACGTCTGGCCGCCGCCCTTTGGAGTCTTCGACTTTGAAATTCTGCCGCTGCCTTTCCGGTTCCACCCGACTCCTCCGAAAATTGGTTGGTTTTTTTTAAGTCTTCTCCGCCGGTCGCCGAGGGAAACTTTATCCGCCTACCGACCGTGTCCGGTGGACTGTTTTTGTTTTGCCGTGCCGTGCACCTCGACGTATTTCCGTTGGCATGCGGTCGTGTGTTTTTTGTCGGTAATTGTACAAATTGTCGAATATCTGTACGTAAAAACATACGTGTGTAATGCGTGTTGGGTTCTTTGGTGGCGTAATAATTTCTCTCTCTCTGGCCGTCGTAAATTTGTTAAATGCCACGAAACAAATTAAGCAATTGAAGTAATACTATGTACGGTACCTGTATGATGTGGTAAAATGAATTGATAATATAATTTTGACCTTGGTTTTTGAAGAAACCTGCATTTTCAACCTCTGCTTCTAAAGGTTGCCCGAATGTCGGAACGAACCGACAAAAATTATCGCTATCGACTGTACTCGAAAGTTTACGATTTGAACAATTGATGAGTTTGCAAGCTCATTTAGAGAGCTGACGAAAGACAGATAATGATCGTACGGATGGGAAGGCATCGGTGCAGTTGGAAATATTTTGTAGTCGATCGAGTACCGTGTATTGGGCTTCTTGCTCTAAAATGAAAACATTAAAAATGAACATATTAGATTTTATTAGGAAATATGAGAAAGTATTTCCTAATGAAATTCGATGTTTTCACTTTTTGATACTATTTACAAAACTGTTGTTATTAATTTTAGCAAATTTTCGCGCAAAAACAAAATAATAATTTTCTTTCGACCGAAAGAATCGGAGATGGAAAACGTCCCGCGGTTCGAAGAGTTGCTAGTTTTTGAACGACGAGAATTTGTTCCAAAACGACACGTCCAGAAGAATGCCAAATATTTTTAAGACCAGATTAATTTTAAAATGAAATGTCAAATTGGTATTTTTTATGGAAATAGAGTAAAAAGGACAAAGTGTCTGTGCTTTGATATACGAGCGGAGCAAGGTAAATACAAAATTTCTGACAGATCAAACGTAGTAATAAATGAGTGAATTAAATATTTAACTTTTAATTGGAATATTTTTTTCCTCTGTAGACTAAAATTATGGATCGATTCGTCAGTAAAGAGAATCAAAACGTTCCGAGGAAATATGAAATCAAAATTGATACGCGCGTGACATATCAAGCTAAATGTTTTAAAAGCGCACAAAAGATTAACAAATTTTGCCATTTCCACAACTTTTGAAGAAATTAACAATAAAGAATGGCTTGACTTTCAAAATTGAAGGTACTTTTAGTTATTTTATTTATAAGAATACTTAAAATACAGTTAATTTTAATAAAAATTTTAAAGGGTATTTTTTTATTTTGTGAAAACGATCGTAACATAAACTTTTAGATCCTAGATATTCCTATTTTTGTTTTCTCCATCCAAAAATTTATGTCATGGTTAATAACAGTCTTTTCTTAAATTTAAATTGACAACTTATTTAATACTTAAATGATACCATAGATGTAATATATCTATATTACAGTATTTTCAGAAAACAGCAGAAAATACAGTATCTACTGTATTTTCTGCTAAGTTTTGCTGCAACAAAATTTAATGTTGCAGCGCTTGAAAATTTAATGTTGCAGCGCTGTTCTTGAAACTGTTCTTAAAAAGGAAGCAGCAGAAAATACAGTATCTACTGTATTTTCTGCTGCTTCCTTTTTAATATCTAATAAACAAAAATACATAGTATGATCCAAAAGTTCGGAGACTTGGCTTAAAATTCTTTACCTTAAAAAGTTTATATTGCCGATGCACAACCACCTTCAAAGTAATCACCTTGGGCAACAATACACTTTTGCCAGCACTTGTGTAACTTCTGGAAGCACTGCTGGAAGCCATTTTTTGAAACCTCCCGTAAGGCCTCCTGCGATGCTACTCTCACCTCATCTGATGACACAAAACAACGTCCCTGCAAATGCTTTTTCATTGATGGAAACAAATAAAAATCACACAGGGCTAAGTCCGGTGAATAGGCGGGGTGTAGAAGCACATTAATTTGAGTTTTGGCGAGAAACTGTGTGACCATTTGAGACCGATGTGCAGGTACGTTGTCATGCAGAAGGTACCAGTCTCCACTTTGGCAGATCTGTGGCCGTTTATGACGAATGGATTCCCTCAAACGACATACAATGTCTAGATAATGCTCCTTGTTTACTGTTCTGCCTTCGGGAATAAATTCTGAATGAACAATTCCTTGAGAATCAAAAAACACCTCCATCATGACTTTTCCTTTGCTCGGTGCATGTTAAGATCTTCTGTTAAAATACACTGGCAACTAGTCTTTGATAAGTGAGTAGCCGCAGTGATTTTTTCAAGGGTTTGGTGACAATCTTTGTGAACACATTGAGAGACCAACTCAACATTTTTCTCGTTCCATGAAGTCAAAGGTCAGCCAGAGTGTTCATCGTCTGCGATGGATTCTCGGCCCTCTTTAAAACGCCGATGCCATTTGTGCACCTTTGATTACGCCATGGTAAAATCATCATACACCTTTCTTAGCAATTTTAAAGTCTCTGTAGGTGTTTTACCTAAACACTGACAAAATTTAATGTTGCAGCGCTGTTCTTGAAACTCCATTTTTATTACATCGCAAAACAAAGGTAACTATCTCTGAAAGAAAACAACAGCGCTCGTGGTTTAATCACGTGGCATGGGCGAAACCAATCTGAACACATAGGAATGGTTTGATAGAATCAATTTCATACGCTGTAACTTCAAATACATGCTTTTGTTGTCATACATTACTGCAGTCCCCGAACTTTTGGATCGTACCACGTATATTGATACATATGAAATCTACATTTCCTTGCCCAAAACTTATGTTAGTATATATAATACATTATATAAATTATATATAGTATTAAAAATTATATCAAATTTTTTTGACTTGATATTAAGAGAAATTTTCTGACTATATTTATGTCTTTCTCATCTAGGAATGAAACAATTTGTTTACAAGAAGAAAGCTACATAGTTTGTATTAGTCCAATATCATCTTCACGGGTAAGTAAAAGTTACACTACCCAACAAAAAAGTCTTTTTTTTTTTTTATACCTCCTTCAAATTATTCTGTTATGCAAACATCCAAACAGACGGTTACGTTTAAAAAATCAAACAAACTAAGCCGTCTTTGGTTCTGTTATTTTCGGTTGCCTGGAACAGAAACCTGTCATTTTAATTGAAATTATAGATAGACACAAGTTTTTATAATAATACTTTTACAGATTAGTATATGGATATAGCACAATATGTCTGTAAAAGTTATTCTGACGTGGTTTTCTTTATTTACACCATTTTGACCATAGTCAGATACATTAGGATAAGTTGAAAAATAAATTACACCGATATAAATCCATCAAAATTTAATAAAATAAAAACGTTTTTAATCATTTTTCAACGATCATCCTCAGTTACCAAAAAAGAACATTAAAAATGACGACTAATAGGCAAACGATCAAACATCTGGAGAGGTTGGAAATCTATAAAGCGCACATGAAAACCAGTTGTATAAACAACCATAGAGATGCCGACTCATTGTCCACTGCATGGAGGTCCTTTTACAATTATTAATTTATCACTATTTATTTAGTTTACTTGTTAATTTTTCATTAGTTCGTCCGCTAGGGCATTTTTCGTTAATTTTTATTTTTATATTTATTTCGAACGCATTTTATGTTCTATATTTAATGTTTTATTTTTGGTAACTGAGGATGATTGTTAAAAACGATTGAAAACATTTTTATTTTATTAAATTTTGCTGGATTTATATCGGTGTAATTTACTTTTCAACTTATTCTACCTCCAGTATGTTTTGGTTATATACATTAAAATAGGAATCCACATTTTTATGTAGAATCCGGACTGTGTTTTGATCCCATAGGGAGTCAAAAGCAATAACTATTCTATAAGCCGAATATGACTTTTACTCAAATTAATATTTATTTATTTCTAAGTTTTATAATAAATGTTTGACAGTGCATCTTGTATTTTATCTTATGTTTATCGGTCTTTTTTGGTATTTAAAAAATCGGTGAAGATGGATTCCTACTTTGACCGACTATACTCGACGTCTCGAGTGACAAAAGTTACCATACTCTGCCCGATTATGGTTGCTATTGATTCTTACTAAATTTCCAAGATAAATTTAATTTGTCAAGTGTCGTCTGCCGGAGGGATTGCGATAAATTGTTCCAAAACCCAATAGGGAAACACTGTTCCGGTATAACACTTTAAATGGTATGCTCAGTTTAGAAATGTGTGGTATCAGTTTTGTGTTTCGACTGCTTGTTTTATTTCACTGAAAGTGCTTCTTGTGATATTGATTCCTATTATTAGTGGAGTTACATCATTTACTTTGTTAGTAAATGTACAGATATCTAATCTTCAATCTCTGAAAACTGTGATGTGATGTGACTAGGGTTTTTCAAATAGGATCCCAGTTGTTTTTTTAACCCGGGAAATCCCATATATTTCTTAAAAATTCACTTTTTCTTATTTTGTGTTAAGGTTGAGGAAATTTTGCAAATAAAGTATAATTAACTCATAAGCAGTCAGAATACATTTGTATTTATTAATTTTAAACCTACTTATTAGTTTTTTAAATTTTTGCTTGTTATGGCACATCACAAATGGTCAATAATCAATACGTGGCTTATTTGTGGCAAGACTGAAAATTCTTTACTTGTCAGTAATAATATCTGGAATAATTGTGCTGATGCTGTCTTAATTTTTAACCATGCCTAGTAGCTGCTTCAATAACTGCATAACACCAGGTTGTGCAAATTGGGCAAAGATACAAACAAGTACGAAGTCTGTACTCGTTTGTATCCTTGCCCAATTTGTACGATTATTAAAGACAATCAAACTGCCAAATTATCAGGCTATAAGCTTGATATTTCTATTAATGCAGCCGAGGTAGACAAATCAAGAATACTAGAGAGCAAAAGAAGTACTACAATCTCGAAAACGAACTAGAAATCTTCCAGGCTACAGGCAAAAAAACACATAACATGTACATAGAAGCCCAAGATTTCATTAATGAAATTACACATAACATGTGTTTAATGCAGTTAAGAGAAGACAGAATTCCACTCTCATCAATTGAATCGGAAAGGGCATTCTCGGTAGTGGGACTTTTCATTACTAAAATAAGAATCAAATTGAGTGATCAGAGTATTGACCATCTTTGCTTTTTAAAATCTTATAATAATATAAAAATTTACAATAATATTTTGTTTTATTTAAAAAACAAAAATTACCTTTTAAGTTAGAAATTTGATCTAAGTTCATTTTTTTCTTTAAATTTTCAACTCGATTCCAGGTATTTCTTTTGTTGTTGTATGCAGTTTCCAGCAAATTTTAATAAATTTTTTTCTATTTGTGAAAATTTCTACGTAATTCAATGATAATTTTTAATATACCATATATTTCTGCAGATAAGACGATAGTTGAATCATAAAAAAAGGCCCCCAAAATCCGGGGTCATCTTATAGGACAGATACAAAAACAATTAGATTGAAATTTATGTAAATTAAAATCATTATTAAGAAGTGGGAAAACCATAATTATATACTAGTAGAGAGTAGGGTATGTCCACAAAATAGAATGGCCCATACAATGTTTTTTTGAATAGTCAAGGTCATTACTCGAATGCCCGAATCAGTGTGAATGTTTGCAACAATAGCAAGACAGTGCTGCCAGATGCAAAAAAATAAAATTTGTTCCTTTGAAAAATTCCAAATAGGACATAATTCTGTATATGCTATACAGTATTATTATCCAGATGATGATCGCCGAACTAAACTAAATTCATAAATTCATAGGCCATTGATAGCTTGGGGGTTATCTTATAGGACAGATATTTGCTAAAACTATAAAACTTTAACAAAAATTTATAGCTCATTTTATCTGCGGAAATATACGGTATATCTTGCACAGCATTATTAATATGATTTTGAAGGTCGCAGAATGTATTAAATTACTTTAAAAAATGAAAAATAATTATATCATTTGATTTCAAGATATTTTGTATATCTTAAAAATAATTAATTCTATCCCGGGATTTCCTGGGATCCTGGGAAACAGTTCACTTTTATCTCGGGACAAGCAAAAGACCGGGAAATGAGAAACCCTAGATATGACGTTTCCTTGCCAATTTGCAAAACATGGGCATCAAAACTGATAAGATACCCAGGAGGTACAAATCATGTTGGGTAGTGGTTAAGTCTTGTGTAAATATGTCTTTTGTATAATTCATTGCTTAAGTTTAACATTTTATAATTTATTTCTTTTTATACATATACTGTATATATATATGTTAATTTTTATTTATCACTATTGTTTTATAGTACAATGCAGATTAATTGTTGTCAGGGAGTAGAAATCCCTTGTCATAAGACATTTCCAATTATATGTAAAATAAAAAATGTTTTTGTAATATAAGAAGTATGCTTTTTTCTTAATTAGAAAACTCATTAAAAATTAAAAGGTAAAACCATGTTATATTTATGTTGTTTTCATAGAAACAATAATGTCATAGGTTAATTTGCACGACAGTTTTGCTGACATATTATGCTTCTAACATTCTAACAATGGCTTAAACCTAACATGTGATGTTTGGATTCTTTCCATTCACGATATAGCTACTTCATCTGTACGATCATTATCTGTGAAATGAAACTAGAGCAACCTATCCACATATATGAGAAATTTCATAGTAAATAGAACTAATTGGTAGAATCAGTACTATCAAATTTCGTGTAAACAAAATAAAAAAGTTAGCATTTAAATTGCTGCTGGCTTATTGACCCATATTTCAATTGTGTATTTTTTCATTTAGGTTTTTACATGTAATTTTGATTTAAGAAACAAAATTTACTTTAATCCAATTTAATGTAGAATTAAAAAATTTTAAATCAGCAATTTAAATATTTGCTGATATTAACAGGTGCCAATTAAATATTGCTGATAAAATTAACAAGTTTTAAATTATGTTAGGTGAACCCAATAATAAAATTTAAAAGTTGTTAATTAAACTAGTAATTACTACTAAGTTAAAATTTTCAGAAATTAATAATTGATTCTGTCCAGTTTATAATGCTAGTGCAACAGATTTGAAATTCAAATCTTCGACAAAACTGTTATTTTATCTATCAACAAAGTCTCTTATTGTCATATTTGGGAAATATTCTATGTTAAATTATTATTCACTTTTTAAATACAAGTGAAACTTTATCTTAAAATCATCTAGCATGTACACAATACATAAAGTATGAACTTAGGAAGAATATATGCCACTTTACTTCTTAATTTTACATTAAACATAAAATTAGCGAAACCAAATAAATAGCTAAAAATGCTCCATAGCCATTATGGTAATGATTCGAGGTAAACTACATATCAGACTTAATAAGAATGATTTGTATGCAAGAATCGTTTATTTTACTCAATTATTCTCACAGCAATGCTCATTAGAACTAGTATAGATTCTTTTACTTATAGGCAACTTACTTTTTACAGAAGTTCGGATTCTTTTTACAGTTTTCTGATTTGATTCTGAGTATGGAAAGAAAAGGGAACAGTTAGTTATTTCTTCCAATGTCAAGGAATACCTTAAACATCCATCACTAGGAAAGGAAATTTCATTATTTTAAACATGACTACTATTGCTACAAGAATTTTGACATGTTAGCATTATAATGACAAAATCACCGAGTAATGAGTAAGATATTTTCCAGCATATATCAATAGCATAAACATCGGCTTATAACTTGACCTTAAGTTTTTAGGTCAAAATTCTGGTCTAGACCTGTATCTTCTGTATAAATTGATTTCCCAAATATACAGTAGGATACTGGTAGATTAAAACCAGGGCTGTGGAGTCGGAGTTTTGGTGTTTGAGTTGGAGTCATCGAAAAATTCGCCGATTCCAACTCCCTTTTTACTTACCAACTTGTTATGTATATGAAACGGAGTCGGAGTCGGAGTCGGAGTCGTCAAAAAATCCGCCGACTCCAACTCCCTTTTTACTTACCAACTTGTTATGTATATGAAACGGAGTCGGATGGTAAGGAAAAGTCGGAGTTGGAGTCGGTAGATTTTTACGCGACTCCACAGCCCTGATTAAAACCAAAAAGTGAATGTTGTATATAATAATTAATGGTAAAAGCATATAATAAGGCCGTATTGCTTTCATTAAGACACTAATGGTCATATTCACAACTAAGGATTAAGAGTTAGAAATTAACCAATTACCGTACACTTAACCAAATAAGCATTCACTTACTAAAAGTAAACTCTGACTTTCAACTCTTGGCTGTGAATATGATTGTAACTGTAATACCTTTCAATATACAGTATAATAAGATTATGATTATATAGGAATTTGGAGTGTGATCTACATACTGAAGATTTTTAGTTGTTTCTTGATTTAAGTTACGTGAGTAAGAACTCTATTATATATCAGATCTCAATAAATATATTCAAGCCAAAAGACAACACCTCCAATAAAATATTAATAGTTACATAGTACAGAACACTGATAGTAACATAGCATATAGTATACAATGATAGAACATTGAATCACTGTCTCTACTTACACTCTACTGTTTGCATTATTGATGTACTGTACTGTTGAAAACAGCATATGTTGTAGTATTCATTTATACTGAATTTTTATTATGTAAATTACTAATGTGTTTACAAATCAGTTTTAATATCTGTGATTAATCTATTGGAGTTGTGGTAAGTATTGCTTAGCAATTGTTAAAGTGCTGTTTTACTTGTTTATAATTGTATGTAAAAGGTTTTGCATTTTATATGTCATATGTCAATACCGTTTTTTTTTTCTTATTAAAAATGTAACTTACATGCTGCTATTATAGTAGGTTGTCTGTGATACTCATTTATGTAAGGCTAAGCTTTTCAACAGTTTCCTTAAGAAAGTAGATACAAATCTGATAGAACATGAAACATACTCTAAAAAGATGCAATGAAAACGAGCAATTACTTATTGTGAGATTGTCACAATATCAGGCTGCAATTTTTAATAATGTTTTTAATTAATTTAATTTAAAATATATTCTCTCTACCTCAAATTAATACTGTACTGTGGTGTCTTGCCCCCACACATCATACTTTTCCTTTAGCTTAGCAATGGAGTCATGCCAGTCATCTATCTAACATCTTTTAGGGAAATTTGAGTTAAAATAACATGACTTCTGGTTTGTATTGAATGTTCTTATATAGTTAATCGGGGCCTTCTAAGGTTTCCCTATCTGGTCTCGTCTTTCGTCTATTTAACTCCATTCTCGAGATTAAGGAAAAACAGATGGGCAACAGTGGGAATTTATAGGTCTACTATTTTTTCAAATTGCATACCAATTGGTGATGTTTTGCCAGAACTCTTTGTCATCTAAGTTCTGCCTTCATTAAGGAATGGTACTTCAGAATTCATCTAGACCCAATGACTAATTTTTTAATCTATAAACCTGTTATTTGTTGAGATGTAATCCTTTTCCCTATCCCAAGATATTAGGTACCGTCAATGCAGAGAGGTATCATATATTAATATATCATTAGCAGTAATGTATATTCAGATATCATAAGAGAAGCATTGGGAATAGGTCTTCAAAAATAAATCTAATAAGTTATATACAGAAACTAAAAGCAGACATTCTTTCTCTATTTAAAAAATCATCTGAATAAATAAGTATTTATAACAAAATTTCTTTTGATAGAAAATTTAAAACATATGATGGTATTTTGTATTTCGAATGCTTGAGCTTAAAACAACAAATTATGTGTTTGTTTTTATTGTTATTGTTATTATATTGTTATGTGTTTGTTGTTTTAAGTTTATCAAAATGGATATTATTTAGGATTTGGGAATTAATTAATTCAATTTCCAGTACTTATAATGGGAAAAATTTATTTGGACTTCGAGCAATTCGGAGTTCAAATGGCCTCCTGGAATGAATTGAATTTGAAGTAACTTCCTTGAGGCACCAATGTATCTCAAGGAAGGCTGGGAGAGCTTTATGTTCAAGATGAATATTTAATAGCACTGTAGTTCTATTAAATATTCACCTTGTATTTACAGAAAGGTAAACAGAGAAACAAGTGATTTCAACAAAATTACCAATTTCATTTCCAATTATATCTTGCTAGCAATGTGCAGAATTATAATTCTGTACAAAGTGATAGGGTTGTTGGGCAATAGTACTCCAATATACTGAAAGTTTTCACATCTCCCGACCTTCTTGCCATTCATAGTATCATATAGATGAGTTTGGATTATCAATCATGTACAATTTTATAGCATGTTAGTAATTTTGGTCAAAGTTACTTTATAAGAATTGAGCAGACCAATTGCCTTAATATATAAGGCAATTGATTTACTTTTGTAAGAATACTTCCATTAGGGTCTTACCCTTGTATGAAAAATAAGTATTCTTCATAAATATAGGTTAAATCGTTAGTAAGGTATTAAATTTTTAATACATTTTGGAACATCTCAACAAAAGGCAACATAGACTGAAATATTTAATAACACATTTCATATTACTGTACTGTACATTATCTGTCAGATGTCAAATACCAAATTTGTGCAGTATGTGTGTCTATACACATATATATTGTGCAGTATTCTTTGCCATACTATACTGATAGATTTCTTACAAAGTAAAATTAATATTTCTAAATTGAGTTTTAAAATTCTATTAAATTTAATAATGTTTTTTAGACTAATCTTATGAGGACTGTCTTCCCTATATAAGAAAAGTAACTTTGATTTACACAAAATTTAAATTACGAAATCAAATGGATAGTAGTAATTGAATTGTATTTTCTCTTAAGTTACAAGTTGATACATTCTACAGTAGTTTGTAGAATATATCAACCAACATATATCAATTACAATTGTAGATTGATAGATTTTAACTGTTTTGGAAACTTGCATCCTAAATGGTTGCTTTTGATGTGCAATATATTTGATATTCAATAATTTAAATAAATTATTGAATATCAGAAGAGGATCTTAAAATATCCTATAAGCTTCTAAAAACCAATGCTCTACATGAAAAAATAATTTAGAACACAAGAAATCCTAGAGACATTCTTGTAATTCATAGTTCATATACTTTATTAATTTATATCAGTCATTTGTGATTTATTACTCTTTTTGTATCAAAGGTGTTGCATTTTTGGTTGCCTGTCATCAAAACAAAGCGTTATTAGGTAGAAATGGCTTACTACCAGTGCATCTCTACTTGAAACAGGTAAACTATAAATAAATATATAATTCTCTTTTTTAAACTTTTATGATTAGTTATGTATTAAAAAAACCTATTTTATTAATTATGGTACAGGTTTCTGTAGAAATAAATTAAAGAAAGTTTCAGATAAAAAGTTAAATTTGTATAATATAATGATGGAATTATTTTGAAATTTAAAATGCAATTTCCCCTCCTGGATAAAATAAAACTCTCTACAACCAATAACCGGTACAAAGTATGACTAAGCAATAAATAACAAATGTTCTCATAATCTCTTCTGTTATTGGTTGTATATAGTCTTATTTTATCATTATCTCAGTGTGGTATTCAGATAGGTATCCCTTCTGGAATATGGAGGTCTAATTTTATTGTAATTCAGGAGGCTCATTTAAAACAATTAAGTTTCCTCTTTGTATTACATTATATATTTTGAAGATGTTAGCTTGTAACACTTAATGGAGCATCTTCTAAATACATTTTTTCCTGAAAGTTTTGAAACTATCATTTTTCACTTTTATACATGGAATTTGAAATGATTAACTTTAGAGCAACTATCAAATTAAACACAGTTTACAACTATATAAAGTTTTCTCAATATTGATTAGGTATATAAATGTATTTTATTATGAATTTTTTATATAATAATAATTCCAGAATAAATAAGATTTCAATGTTCAACAAAATCAACCTAAGTACAAACGTTTTTGAATGGTTTTGGGTCTAGATGGAACTTCTTATTTTTCAAAAAATGGAATAGTTTGATCCATTTTTGAAAAATAAGAAGTTCCGGCTAGACCTAAAACAGACTAGTGAATGTAGTTGAAAATGTTCATAAATCATTACTTCACTGCTGATAAAGTACTTAGGTTGACCATTAAACATAGATAGAAATTCCAGCTTTTGAAAAGTGCAATTTAAATAAGATTTGAGTTATTAGTTAATGTTTTTTAACTTAAACTTTTTTAATTTGACAGATAAAGGAACAAGCAGAAGGAAATCCTTTTCAGTGTTTCTTTTATGCGCCTACGCTATTATGGCTGGTAGACAAAGAAAATATCGACTTTTACCTGGATCTTCTAGCTTATACGGGACTAGTTATTTCATTATTGATCACGGTCACCGGGTGTTCTAACATGATTGCCATGATAACTTTGTGGATTCTTTATCATTCTATTGTTAATGTAGGACAAAGGTGGTATGTATATGTTTTTTTAATTTATTTGAAATTAAATAGGTATACAAAATTTATTTATGTGGGTTTTTATAATAAATTATAGATATGCTGTTGAATATTATATCATTATATTTTAAGAGATTTCTACACAGTAAAGAATACATAACAAAACATAGTGCCATTTTTTTACTATAGTTTGCTGTATTTTCTAATAAATTATTTCATAAATAATATATTTATTCATAATATATTAATTGATAATGATAATAATTGCGATCCAAAAGATTCATTTCTCTCCATCAAGCTCTTGCACAACAAATAGCATACACTATAAAAACATTCACACAACTGCACCAATTTCCTCACACAAGGGATCACATTTCTGAAACCAAAATCAAATAAAACAACAGACCCATTGTATGCCTTCCTACATTGTACAAAATTATAACTTCCTGCATTATGAACAAAATCTATGCACACATAGATAAACATAATGTTCTTACAGAACAGCAAAAGGACTGTTGCTGATATCATGTCAGCTGTAAAGAGCAACTCTTGACTGACTCATTAATACTAAGACATGCCCATCAAAAACACACAAACCTTCACATACATAACTACAAGAAAGCTTATGACAGTGTTTCACACTCTTAGTTATTCCATACATTAAGCTTGTTTAAGATACACCCCACGTTAATTACACTTTTAACTACTATAATGCAGCATTGGAAAATCACATTACACTTATATCACAATAACACTAAAATTGTAACAGATCAAATTCTCATAAGACAAGGTATATTCCAGAATGATTCCCTTAGCCCACTCTGGTTTTGCATGGCCATTAACCCTCTATTCACTACACTTACTAGCACACAAATTGGATATAACTTAACATAGACAGACAGATAGCACTTTCTTACATCTTCTTTACATGGATGATATTTAGATATATGCTCCCAAATGCACAAAACTAAGCAAACTCCTGAAGATTATACAGACTTTCTCTCATGATATCCAGATGGAATTTATCATAGATAAATGTAAAACATTGCACATTGAAAAAGGTGTTGTTGAGGATGATCCCTTCAAACTTGACAGTGGAGATTACATAACAATTATGAAGGAAGGAGAAACCTACAGATTTTTGAGGTTTCACCAGACCAAAGTAATTCGACATAAAAAATAAAAACAGAACTTACTAAACCATGTTGTAACAAACTGAAATCAGTACTAAAAAAACAAAGTCCAAAAACTTAATAAAAGCCATTAACATATGCTATTCTACTACTCACCTACTCATTTGATACCATTCAGTAGATCTTGAGTACCTCAACTGTAAAACCCAAACAATACTCACTAAGTATAATACACTGCACCATCCCGAATCAGCTAAGGAAAGGCTTATCCTATCACAACTGGAGGGTGGTAGGTCTTATTGACATTAAAATTCTTCTTCGGAAACAGATAGATTCACTACAAAGTTTCTTCCATACCAAACAATAATTATCATCACTATACTATACATTGTCCAGACTGATGGTAATTATACACCATTAAACCTAAGAAACACAAAGTATGAAGAATACAAATGAGCCTGTGAATACAGAACAACAAGCATGAATGCGAAAAACACTCCACAGTAGATACCCTGCTGATCTTGCACAGCCACATGTTAAAACAGAATCAAACTACAGGCTGAGAGATGGGAGTTTCTTTGGGGAAACAAGGCTTTATGATTGCAATAACCAATTCATTAGTACAAAGGCTTACTGGAAACACAATCACAGATACATTGGATGGCACATGCAGGAAATGTCATGCTGCAGAAGAAACTATACAGCATATTGCATGCAGATGGACACAAAAGTCTGGCACAGAAAGACTATTTATGTAGAAATAACCAGATAGCTAAAATAATTCACCAGTACATAGCAAAGAAATATTTACTAGCCACCACTAAAACATCGTATTATAAGTTTATTCCACAAACTATCCTTGAAAACACAACACACAAACTACAGTATATTTTGACAGAGCAATTATAACATATAAAACACATCGCAGTAACACCAGATATTATCCTCATTGACAAAGTGCACAAAACTACCTATATCATTGATGCTGCAACAAATACACATAATATACAAAACAAGTCGAAAGGTCCAATGCAAGCATTGGGGCATACTAAATTACAAATAAAAATAATAATATACTGAGTATTATATTGTAAAAATATAAAATAATTTATATTGTTAATTTAAATTAATCTAAATAATAGCTAGGGGTGCCCTAGTGGCCGTTTTTGGCATACTGTGACAAAGAAAATGCCCAGTTTTTCAGCTTTATATAGTAGTTAGCTATACAGAAAAATAAGTAAATATTCTGAACTCTCTCAAGAAGTAAAGTGCCTGTGGAAAATGAATGAAGTCCATACCATAACAATAGTTCTATCTGTCACAGGAGTTATCCCACATTTGTTACATAAAAGTATATAAAAGCCTGAAGACAACAGACATTCACTCAAATTTATATAGATTATTGCAAAAAAGTTATTATACATCTAAATATATAAAATTACTTGTTCTGACTGACTGAGTCACTGATTCATCATCGCCCAGAGCAAACTGCTGAACCTAGAGGTGAAATTTGGTACACAGTTAGGGTACATCTTGAAAACACACACTAAGAAGGGATTTTTTGAAATTCCCCCGCTGGGGAGAGGGAGAGCGAGAGCATTAAGGCTTAACCGGAAGAATGGCTTCTACTGTACTATTTTAGATGCTATTTTTTGTTTTCAACTACATTTAGTCTTCATTGAGTACTTAGGTGTATTAAATTGATAACATTTCAGACATTGTTATAAATATTTTTATATATATTTTGCTTTTTTAACCAAATGTTCCAATCATTTTATATTCGAATTTGTTATTGCATATTGGCTTGATTACAGAACGATTGGAAACATTCCAGAAAATTGATCAAATTGAAAATAGTTTGTTTGATTCTCAGCAGTAGGTGTTATATAACAATTACTATGATTGTTGAAATACTGAATATAAATGGGGTTTGCTTGCAAAACCCCTGCGGGCGAAGTCGTGGGTAACAGCTAGTTTCATATAAAGTGTCGTATTGTCAGAAAATTTCTCCAAACTGTTTATGGTTTTGTACTGGTCTGGTATCAATCCAAGAATGATACACAGTAAAAATAATAATTGTACAAACAAATTTTGATACTGGAAGTTTTCCACAAAAACAAGGAACATCAAGATTATGTAAAGCTTTAACTCTGGCAGGGAGTACAGAATTTGCATGTGACATATTTACTAGACATTATAATTATAAACACAACATTATTAGATGGCATTTGCACGTCCAAGCCCACTATGTTGTAAAAAGGTGTTGCTGAGGATGATCTCTTCAAACTTGACAGTGGAGATTACATAACAGTTATGAAGGAAGGAGAAATCTATAAAAAACATAGATACCATTTGAAGTTCTCACTTTGTTTTCTCTCCTGGAGATATAGATAATGTTATCTCATTAACAATTAAATGATAACTAAAAGCAAGATGCAAACACTTGTACTGAAGTAAAAACAATATAACCAACTGTTGGGAACCCGATCCAAATTATGGATTCTGTCCTGCTGGTTCATCACACAGAACTGGAATAACCAAATATTGTAACACAAAAAAACTTTAATCTTTAATCCCACTTTCAGACTCCACCACTTCACCACTCTTCCTCTCTCTACTGTCCTCCTACCTACTCTGACCATCCCTTTTCCTGCTTTTACTCCTTTCCTTTTTATGGCCCTTTGTCTAATTTCTTATTACCCTTTATAACTGTATGCAAATGAATTGCACATGGACCAACAAAACCACAATTGAGGATGAGGAGGTCCAGTATCACTACACTGACAAACACCAAGTACATTCTTACCTGGGTGTGCTTAACAATGACGATGCATTGACAGAGGATCGAATATGACTGGTTCTACAATTTTATAAAATTAACTTCTAACTTGAAACTTTTCTTATGCTTATACTGGTGTTATAACTTTATATTTTACAGTACAAAAACATATATTATAACTTAATGCTTATATGCATAAAGTTATAACATATGTTTTTGTACTGTAAAATATATCATGCACAAAATATAGTAACAACACACCTTTAAACTTGCACTTTGAGTACCTGGACATAGCTCATCACACAAATATCATAGGCACCATTAAGCAGTCATGGCCCTAAAGGCACTTCATTACATAATGATTTCTCAAATTTAGTTTTGGTTTTAGATGTGAAATATCTTGATAGCAGACAAATACAATCCATTCAAATCTTCATATTTTACATACGCGAATGATTTAACCTTACAATTGATTGTCGAGAAAAGTTTTCAAGAGTCATGATTCTGAAAAATATTGTAGAAAAGGTGTAGAACAAGGTGGAAAAAGAAAAAGAGAATAGAAGGGAAGAGAGACTAAAAGATCAGGAAAGAGGAAAGATGATAAGAGAATGTGTAAGATTATGAAAGAAATGCATGAAAGAGATTCAGATAACTTAGTATATGGAAAGAAGGATAATTGACAATAAGAAATGAGAGATTGTTTTAGATCTTGAATTCTATTAGGAGTGTATGCAATGAAGATAGAAAAAGTGAGAATAGAAACTTTTATTATATAAGGTCAAGGATTAGTATGTTAGAAATTACAATTGAATAATATTGGAATGATGTGAGAAGAAGACAACTAAGAAAATGCCTGATAAGAGAGGCACATCATGCTGATTCCAAATTCGGTTGGAAGCTTGCTAGATTACTGTATATTTAAGAGAATACAATAAGTACAGTGGGTGATCAGTTAACGAAGATAATCCATTCCAAGACCACCATGTTCGCTATCCAAATTGTTCATTAACCGATTATTGATTTACCATAGATTTTTGTGGGAATTTGATTAATTCATTCTGGAGACCCCAAAAAATAAATAAAAATTATATACTTTCTTATTATGTTTATTTACATGTAATAACAAACTAAAAGCAATCTCTCCATTTTTTCATGGATGGCACATCTTTGTTTCTCAGGTGCTATTTTCATTACTCCATTATCTGCTTGAGTCTTTTTGATTATATCTTTCTTAGCTAAGATTGTATCTACTGCAGACCTGTTGAAGTCATCTGCTTACAATATCAGACATCATCTGACCACTTTTTGCCTTGGCTATAATCTCTTGTTTAGTTTCTATAGTTAACACAGTTCTTGACACTCCACTCTTTTTAGGCTCCATAATATTAAGTTTTTTAAATAAAAAATTCAGAAAAGCACTTACAAAAATTCTGAGAACAGAAATTAACTAGTGCAAAGAAGGTTATATATACAACTGTTAAAGTCTCGTTCCATAAACAATGTATAGATTCCATTAAAAATACAGTTTTACAAATCTTAAATGCAGCATCACTTCTTTTATTTGTTCTGTCAGGTAATCGTTATCCAAACGTGTTTGTTGTCCGAACATAAAAATCTTTCACAAAATTGTTTGTTGTACGATTTGTTTGTAGTCTGAACTGTTCATTAACCGATCACCTACTGTATACATTTTTGTAGCAAGCTTAAATTATAAAGTGGTGAGCGAGCCGATGCCAACAAATTATTGGAAGTACGGAAAGCCATGACAACGGGAAACTGTTGTAAAAGCGAAGTTTTACAGACATGAAGTAAATAGGAAATCTGGCATATATGAATGGATAAGTTAAATTACTTAATGGGATGCGGAACTTAAAGAAAGCAAAAAAGAGACAATAAATTTAATATTAGATAATAAATTATATATAATATTTAGGGCAATTTTTAAAGATTTGAAGATGTCTGAAAATAAGTTTAATAAATGATACTGTACAAACTGGATAAAAATGTACAAAAGAACAATCAATTATTTATTGTGACATCATCACAATGGTGGGCTGCAATTTTTAATCAGATATTTTTTATTTATTTAATTTAAAATATATGCTCATCATCTCAAATTAGTAGTGTCTTTCCCTCGTACATAATACTTTTTCTGTTAGCAACAGAGTCATGCTGTCACCTAACTCCTTACAGAAGAAAATTTTGGAATTGAAATAACACGACTTGCTGTTTGCATCGGAAATTCATACACAATTAATTGGGGCTTCCCACCCCTAAGCTTTTTCTGTATCTGGTCTTATTTTTCATTTAACTAACTCTGTTCTCAAGATTAAGGACAGACACAAATGGGAATTTATAGATCTACAATTTTTTTCAAATTGTAGTCAAATAACAACCACCTTTACCTCATCTAGTAATAATAGGATAAAGGTTATTGTTTAACTGTTTTTTAATAAATTTTTTCTAATTAGAATATTTCTTGAGTTAAATCTTGAAAACATTTTGACAATTTGGAAGTAATTGACTTCTTGATTAAAGGTTTGGTGTATGTTAACAGGTATGACATGGGGTCAATTTTTCTACATGTAGAAGAATTCATAACTGTTTATTGTTGACTTCTAAAATATTAGTTTCAAGTATCTAATCGTTAATCATTTAAGGGATAATCTCCATCTTCAGTACTGTATTTTAAAAAATATGTCATATTCTATGTAAGTATAAACAATAAGCACTTAATCGTCACTTTTAAGAAATAAGCTTTTTAGAAAATTGATCAAAATTTTAATCTTAAACTTACAAGATACATTGATTTTAAAGTTCTTTTTTTGTACAATTGTAGCTTTTTACAATTTTTTTTAATATACTTCATAAGGGAGACACTTTGCTAAAACAAATTGATATACATATGAAATTATGTTTTTGTGACATTAATGCCATCAATTTCATCAATTATAAAATATAAGGTGTGTTCAAAAATTTCCAGGAATGGATTAAAAAAAAGATGTGTTAGGATATAAAAAAATTTGTTTAATATCTATAAAAATTTTGCTTTCAATACACCTTTTCCAATGGTTTCTTTAATGTGGGAAATATATAGAAAATCGGCTCATTTTGGATAGGGCAAAATTTTCTTTGACTTGTCTTGTACAAGTACTTTCCACTAAAACCATTTTCCTTTTAAAATTTGGGAAAGAAAAAAGGCATTTAGGGAACTAGAGGAATAGAATGGCCTTGGAAGAATAGCAGTTCCGACCATGCAAGTTGAAAGTTTCATACAAGAGAATCTAACAATCTCAAAAAAAAAATTATTTTTTAAATGTTTCTTTGTATCATTTTCCTATTTGGAAAAGTATCTAAGCTCGAGTTTATTAGACTGCAATTTTGAAATTACAGACCTATATGTTTCTGCTGTCATTTGTACATCTGTGGCAGTATTAACTAGAACTCCTCAGCCTCCATACAAAAAATTTTGTGTTTCCTGATTTACAATTCTGCAAGAGAGAAGCAAAAAAATTTATGGGTCCCAAGGACCATATCTACATCATATATGTTTTTACAGAGGTACACAAATGATTTATATTTTCTTTTTAATTTAAAGTTTAAATATGTAAATCTAGTTTGTCGGTCTAAGGGCTTGGGGTTCCTAGATGGGATATATTGCATGTCTCTATTTATGCCGTTGTCTGTCCTTTGTTGATCTCGAGAGTGGAGTGAGTGAGATGAAATTCGAGACCAGATATGGAAAGCTTGAAGACCAGAGATCCCAATTAAGTATATGCAAACTTTCAGTTTGGACAAGTTATGTGATTTTTTTTTTTTTAATTAAGACAATTAAAAGTTGCTGCTTGGCATTGTGAAGATTTCACAATAAATACTTGCTCATTTTTGAAAAGAAAAATTTAAAGAAATTTATTTATTAACCTGTTTTTATTTTGATCCATTCCTGAAACCTCTTAAATTGTTTTGTAAGAATTATTACAAAAAAGAAATCTGTGAAATTTAATTCCAATGCCCACAAATTAAAATTAAAATTTAGTTTGTAACTTCTCGTAACACTACTATTCAGTAAAATAAAGATATAATCCTGAAATAATCCCCAATTATATATGAAGTTACAAGGAAGCATTATGAAGCTCTACATTAATTCTTGTCATGCCACTGTTTTTTATATTTGCTTTTTATTATTCAAAGAGACAAACCGAGATGAAATTTTCAAACTCTTGGTTAATATTAAATCTTATATTGATAATTTAAGGAAAACTTTTAGCCTCCAAGATTTGAATGAAAACAAGTAAATTTTATTATTTCACAATATGCTTTGGACAATTAAAAGTTAAAAAAATGTGTTTCTTTTTTTCCTCAAATGTTGTTGGAATTTTACATTTCGAGGGAAACCATTCAATTTTTTTATTTTAATTTTTCAAACATTATATGGATTAGTTGGTCTCCTGTTGCCATAAGATCCAATCCTATCCGGACTTTTTTGCCAGGTAATTTTGTGCCATTCGTCTTTCCCAGCCGATTCCCGTTATGATTAGTCGGCCGTAACAGACAATAACGGAGATTGTTTTATCGATCTGAAAGTCATGGTTAGTTAAAAAAGAAAGTCCAGTTTTGACGACAGAATTATAAATAATTTTTAAAAAGTTTAACGTGAAATTTTTATGTCTATTAGATTTTCTTGCTTTGTTTTATGCCAGTTTCTTATATCTAACAATAAGAACTGAAAGAAAAGAATTTTATTGAGGCAAAGAAAGCAAAAAGTTGATTATTTTATTGTTTTGTCTTTAGAATAAATAATCGGGTGCCACAATTCATTAACAACATTATTTCTCTAAATGTTTTTTTTTTTTTTTTTTTATTTTGAATCAACTTATATTAAGTTTTTTTTTAATTGAAACTTTTGGAAAATTCAGTTTTTGTTGTTTTGTTTTCAATTTGGAACATTAACTATTTTAAATGTGTTTTCTGAACATGAAATTTGCTTGGAGAACATTTACGAAATAAATTAGAAATATATAATTTTTTTAAAATTGGATTGTTTTACAAAATTTTTGTTGTTAGTAATAATTTAAATTGATTGTTTTTTTTTCTCTTTTCATGATTTTCATTTAAAACAAAATAAAATAGGTATTCGTTTGGTAAGTGTTAATTTTTGTTTTTCTTTTCTTATAAATGTGGTATATAGCAATAACATTGTTTTTTTAATGATTTCTTTTAGGGTGGGAATCGCAGCTTCTCGAAACGGGATTTCTGGCAATATTCTTCTGCCCCTTGTGGACGTGGAAGAGACTGCCCCGGAATACGCCACCATCTCCTATCGTCGTGTGGGGTTACAGGTGGCTTCTCTTCCGCATCATGATCGGAGCGGTAATTTGTTTATTATATTACTTAAACTCGACGACAGAGTCTAGTAATTTGAGAATAAAAATTCTCATCATAGTGTTTAATTATTAGTTAAACTATGGAACAATAATATATTCCTTTGTTTCATTCTATGATCTTAACTAGCTACGATGGTGTCCTTTGGAATTTATTTGTCCATATCTTTTCTCTAAACACTAAATTTGAACCCCATTCTTGTAGGGCTTAAATTTATAGTAGTGGCAATTTTTTTAGAGAATCTTATATATTCTCGACTACCTTAGTGTTCTAAATTAAATGCATTAAATCGGCGGCTAGCCAATTGTCGGCTATTTTTATAAAACACAAATTGGGAAATTCGGACTCTGATTGAATACAGATTATAACTTTTATTATTAATATAGTTAAATTTTTACATTATTTCAAGTATAATGATGTCTCCTTATCATTTCATCATTGAAAATTCAAACCAAAAATAGAGAAACGGAGATATTGATTATAAGATTTTCCCAATAAAAAAAAAAGTAGAATTATCTAAATTTATGATTTTGGCTTTTTTTTTTCCTCCTCGTTTAAATAGTGATCAGGAATGGTACAGGTGTATTCTCTGAGAGATTATGATTTAGAAACACAGTATAGTTTGTTTTGTAACATAAGCTTGTTCTTATTTACTCTGACTCATCATATTTGAGCTTTATACATTTTATATAATTTTTAAGGTTAAAAAATCGTCTGTGTATAATCATCATCATCTCTAGTTCATAATCTATGTATTTGTAACAAGTTTTTAAATTTTAGGATGGCATACAAAGTCTATATTTTGTTCAATTATTTAAAATGTTAGAAGTTATTCAAGTTAGATATTTCTCAAAAACGCTGCCTCGCTTAATGCTGATTCGATATAATGCAGTCTGCTCAAAGCCTTTAAAAAAGCTCAACATTTACGGCGATTTAAATTATCACAGCATTTCATCGATTCATATATAATACGATTATTTACGAACACAAACCAATCAGAAAAAGGTGGCAAAATTGTATAAACCAAACCTTATTTTTCAATATTTTTAGTAAAAATAATGAAAATAAATTTGTTAATATCTTTACAGGTTTGGTATAACTTGGGACAGTTTGAATACCACCAATTTAAACAAACAAAATAATGTCTCCAAACATTTCAAAATAATATTGTGTGTGTTACGAATATATTATATTATTCAAAATTACGAAAACAAAGCTGGAATACCACTATGTAAAAATGTCTTTATCCAGCAGAAATATTTTCAATGAAAGATGTTATTCATTTTTTAAAGAACTCACTTTTTTGAATCACATGCATTTGAACAGTTATAAACTATTTAGAATAGCATATATAAAATACAAAATTTGAATATCTTACATTTACTATATAAAAACTGTATATTCAAGTCTAAATAGTTTTAAAAGTTTGAATGTGCAGAACACAAAAATGAGTTGTTAAATAAATTGAAACATTAAAAAATTGCCAGTGAATAAAGCTATTTTTGTTCATTTTCAGATTAAAGTCAATAAAGTTTAAAAAAATACATAACTCTAAAAAAATATGACCTGAACATACTGTGGTAACCACATTTCATTTAATAATAATTGAAAGTTTGGCAAATGTACCAAAATACAATATCAGTTTAATAGAATGAAATGTTAATTTCTTTTATAGAAAAAGCACCTTAATAGTTTTTAATTAAATTCTTTCTATCTTTAATATGTATGAGGGTAGTTCAACTTCTGTCTGAAATTTCAGTAATATTACATATTCCAATTTATTTCTTTTTCTAGGTTCTTCTAGGTATTTCTTCCTCCTTTATACTGACTTCTCTTGTCATTTTGGCAACAATGCTATGTCTATGGAATAGAAAAGTCTTTCTTTTAATAGGGTTGGAGCTTGGCCGTGTGCACGGTAGAGGTCGATGGACTCTGTCGGGCAATTGGATCGCCCGACCTACGGTTCTGATTTGTTGCCTCGTGATTATCAGTCGTTCGGCCGTTTGAAGGATGCCTCGGATAGCACTGTTTCCCAAAACAATGATGTATGTGTGTGTAGGGAAAGTATCTAAAGAAATAAAATTGGAAATTTTAGCAGGACCCGAGCACAATCCCAATTTATCAGATCGACATTCTTTGTACATATTTTAAGATGCTTGGTTTTCACCCAAATTTATTATATGGAATATCTATTGAAGATTTTCTGTAATGCAGTTTTAATCATTTTAAAGGCATTGCCAAATGAGCTGATGCTCTCCTTTTTGAAATATGTCTTGATAGGAAGTTCCAAACATTCTAACTCCAGAGGAATCAAATCATCTTGATATATTAAATTTAAAATCCTATATATCATTTTGTCCAACAATGTTCATTACAGTCTGAAAAGCTTTGCTTACTAAAGCAAATATGTTAAACACTTCAGTTTTGCTTCTCTGGCTGTACTGCTGTATGTCATCATACTACAGCTCCGAATTTATCTGATACATCTCCAATTTTCAGAATTTCTTGTATAAATTGGGACTATGTAACACACACAGTTTCATTGCCATTACTGAAATTCCAGACAGACATTGAACCACCTTTTGTATACTAAAGGTAATTTTGAGCTTTCTGTAGTATTTTAAGACTGGATAAAAAATAAAGCATTGTTTTAATTTCAAAATCACATTTAATTAATTATTGATCTTTATTTAGTTAGGTACCAATAATGTTATTTTTCTTGTTGCTTTTTTAGGGTCTGATCAAGATTCGAGGCGACAGATGTTGGCTGAATCTAACTTGCATGAACTATCATTACGAGGTATAAATTTATATATAACACAGGTCAACAGTGGTTTTGGTGCCCAGATATTTTGAGTTGATTTCATATGAATTTGATGTCCTGAATTCAAATATGGCATTAGTTTTTGCTTAGGAGCTCTAATTTTTAAGATATAGCATTTTAGCGAAATATACATTTCAATATCTTAAGTTACATCCATGGATCAAGTAAAAAAACTAAACACGGAATTTTTATTATTATATTATGCAAATATTATTCTATACAAAGATAGAGGAAAAAGTCATCAATAAAACTAAACAGTTACACATTGAGGAAGCTTCTTTTCTGTGACTTTCATGAATGTATTTTGGAGCAATCCCTTTTTAAACTCCAGCAGTAATCTGCCATCATATGCGTATCCCATCTTCCTTGGTAGCAGTCCTCCATAGTTTTAATATCCTGGTGAAATCTTTCACCTTGTTCTTCACTGGTGTCTCCTAAATTTTCAGGAAAACG